CTTTCCCCTGCCACGCCCACCAAGCCACGCCCACCAAGCCACCCCACACCCACCAAGCAATGCCCACAGCTGATCGGCCGGGTCTCCTTTGGTTGCCCTGCGCGGGAGAACGGAGCTGGAAAGCAGGTTAGTGGAGCGGGGAGGGAAACGAGGATTATGCAGTATCCTTCCCCTGCCACGCCCAAGCCACGTCCACCAAGCCACGCCCACGGAACCAATAGTAAAGAAATTACTAAAGCGTGTGCAGAATTATAAAAGGGGTGCAGAATCTGATAGCACCCCGAAAGCCTTTTCTTCCGGCACAACCAGGTTCGGCATCCATACGTTCAACTTAATTTACTTTATGGAGGCTTTTATTGTTTTGGGGGTACCTTTTTTTTTAAAGTGGTTTTATCATTTTAGGAACTGGAAGCTATTCCCAGAGTCCCATGGTTGTCTGGGGAAGCCACCTACAGGCAGTCCTTGACTTACAATGCTTCATTTAGTGACCGAAACGACTGAAAAAAAAACATCTGACTTATGTTTTTCACACTTGATATGATCAAAATTTGGCCACTCGGCAACCGGTTCCATATTCACGACGGTCGGCGTGTGCCAGGGATCGCGCGATTTCCCCCCTTTTACGACCAAGCGACGTCGACAGGGAAGCCATTCACTTAACGACCAGCTGAGATTAACGGCCGCAATTCACACTTAACAACCGTACCGCTCGCTTCACAAATTTGCGGCGGTTCACTGGGGACGAGGAAGGTTTTTTTTTAAAAAAACTCGCTTTTGACACCCCCATCTCGCTTAGCCACGGGAATTTTTGGGGGCCTCCATTGGGGGTCGTCAAGCGAGGACGGCCTTGTAACTCGAAGGAATAAGTCGGTCAAGTTCTCCGGCCACCGAAATCCGATGGGATTCAAGGTCACAGGGTGGAAATTTAGGAAGGAGATGGACAACCTCCCTGGAATAACCACCGGATCAATTTTGAGGCCTTCTCCTCTTGGTCCTGCACCGATTAAGGGCATCTGACCGCTTGGTAGCTCCGGCCTCTTTCTTGCACCCTCTTATTTTTCCTGGGGTGGCGAGCTTTCCAGGTTTCCTTATATGGCACCGACAACTGACCCATGCATTCCGGCCGCCTCTCTGGCTTTATCGCCGGTGGTAAAAATAGCCCAGAGGCGGACGAAGTCGGCTGGACGGCTCCAAAGGCAGATCAGCCGGTGCCATAAATGTCCCGAACTCAGGAAGAAGGAAATCCACTGGGGTACAAACAGCCCCCCCAGATCAAAAAGGATCGACTCCTTAAGGGTTTGGGATGTGTGGGGGTGTCTTTCTGGAAGCCCCCCGTACGGTTCCTTTGGCTCAAGTCTGTGTCAACGTTCCAGCAAACCTCAAGAAAGGTCATCAAATGGGGGCGAAATCCCCTTCACAAATGTCCCACTTAGTGGCAGAAACGTTGGGCTCCACTGTGGCCGTAAGCCGAGGACTACTTGTACTTGATTTGGCCCAAGTGTGAGTAGACACACAAGGAATTTGTCTCTGGGACGGAAGAAACTACTCTCCCTAGTTTCTCAGGCGGGAAATTTGTATTTTCAGACGTGCGAGACGGGTGTCACTCTTCGTGTCAGCGTTCCAGAAAACCTCCACTCCGACAAATAACTCCGAGACAGAAATCGTCTCCAAAGTTCTTTTTTTAATTTATTTTGGAGAGGAAACAGGCACACCTGGGAAATCCTGAATCTGAAAACCTTGCAATTAAGTAAAAAAAAATGACGGATCCACCCGTCGTGGCATCCCACGCCCCAATCCCCATCCGTCCCAGCTTGTCCTCTCCCGCCAGGTGCAGATACAACATGACCTTGACTTAGGAAAAAAGAATGCTATTATGTCGAACCGCATAGGCTCCAAGAAATTCCATTTTCCCAGGCTCAAGAAGGTGGCAGTGTGGAAGCTTCTGGCGCTAATAGGGCTTCCGGAACTGAACAGTCTGTGCTGCTGCAACGACCGGGTTCACTTAACAACACTGTGGGATTCGCTTAACGACTTCGCTTCACTTACACTTCACTTAGCAACTGTGGCAAGAAAGGTCATAAAATAAAAACCTCCTCCTCCTCCTTCCTTGGTTGGACAGTATAAATTGAGGGTGTTTCACTTAGCAGTGGAAATTTTGGCCTCTATTGTGGTCATAAGTCGAGGACTACCTTTAAAAAACATGTCATTGTCCCCCCCCGCCGTTCTTCCTTTGCTGGACAGTATGAGTCAAGGGTGTCTCGCTTAGCAATGGGAATTTTGAACTCCACTGAGGTCGTAAGTCAAGGACTACCACTAAAAAGGTTTTATTTTTTTTCTTTCCTTTGCTGGACAGTATGGGTGTCCTTGTGGGAGCCTACCCTGTTTCCCTGGAAATACAACCTACCCTGAAAGTAAGTCCTAGTTTGATTTTTTACACGTGCACCCAATGTAAGACCTACCCCCAAAATAAGCCCTAATTCAGACCCCGCCCACTCCAGGGTCCACGGGTAAAAATTAAACTAGGGTGAGGATGGGGGCGTGGAGCTGCCCTACTACTTACCTTTGGACAGGTGTAGCCAGGCTTTGCACATCTCAACACCTGCCAGGCCGGCCCATTTCTTCTGCAGCCAGCAAGGCTGGCAAGGCTTTCCTGAAGGCCTCTGGAGCTGAGAACAAAGCTCTGGATCGATCCTGAGCTCTCTTATCAGCTGCAGAGGCCTTTAGGGAAGCCTTGGTGGCCATAGAAGAAATTCCTGGAGGCCTCTGACAGCGAAAAGGGGGCCGGTGGGTGACGCACGCAAGTGAGGTTAGTCTGTGGATGACGTCACCCGAAAATAAGACCTGGTGCCTTTTTTTTTTTGGTGCAAAAAAATAATAATAATTCAGCCAGAGTCTTATTTTCGGGGGAAACACGGTAGCAGGGCGCCCCAAATCTACTTACACATCCGTAAAGAGGGCTGGAGAATCCGGCCGGTGGGATTGGACATCTTGCATGGCGTTCCACTCGTTGACCGAGGACTGGTCGGAATTGATGTGGCTCTCATAGTAGCTGACCCAGGTGAGGAAAAGGCTGCCGGGGTAATAGTTGTGGATGCGGGCCACTTCGCAGGCTTTGTGAAGGCTCTGCAGGGCAGACCTGGTTGGGGGGGGAGGGGGGAGAGAGGAAGAGAAACAAGGTGACCCTGGTTGAATCAAGGAAAATATTTGTAGCTACGGGTTGAAATGAGGGGGTCCTTGGGGCTCTCTGAGCTGGGTGGTTTCATTGCAGACGTTTCATGACCCAGCTAGGTAACGTCATCAGGGAAGGAAGGAAGGAAGGAAGGAAGGAAGGAAGGAAGGAAGGAAG